GGGTCTTTGTTGGCCTTTCAGCAAATACATATATTCTCCCGCCTGTAGCATCAGCTTTAATCTTTTTCACACAAACTCGACGATCCTTACACACACACACCCACCCAGGCGAGTGTAGTACACACACAGGGGTGAGCGCGTGCCAGAGTTGGTACGTACCAAGAAGATTGTCGCTGTGGAAGCCAGCGGCGACGACGAAGACGACGACTTCTCACGCCGGCACGCAAGAACCCTGGCTCCTTCTGATGCGGAAATCATCGAGATCAGCTGGGGGGTGGAGTTAGGGGCGTGACCAGAGCAAGGGGGCGTGGTTAGGGGCGTGGTTAGGGGCATGGCTAGAACAAGGGGCGTGGTTAGGGGCGTGGTTAGGGGCGTGGCTAGAACAAGGGGCGTGGTTAGGGGCGTGGTTAGGGGCATGGCTAGAACAAGGGGCGTGGTTAGGGGCGTGGTTAGGGGCGTGGCTAGAACAAGGGGCGTGGTTAGGGGCGTAGCTAGAACAAGGGGCGTGCTTAGGGGCGTGGTTAGGGGCGTGGCTAGAACAAGGGGCGTGGTTAGGGGCGTGGCTAGAACAAGGGGCGTGGTTAGGGGCGTGGCTAAAGCAAGGGGGCGGCGTCAGGGCCGGGGTAGTCACACCCACAAAGCTCCAGCGACCAATCAGGAAGCCTCCCAGGAGGAGAAAAAAAAACACGCGTCATTTACAAGATGATGTGTGGGTGAGTGACATCGTTATTCACGTGATCACGATTATTATTCACACAATGACGTGCTAGATTTGAAGCTTTCGTGACTGCAAGGATTCATATTCTTAGGTTTTTTTCGGTAAAGTTACGTAGGTAAAAAATTATAATTAATAAAAGTAAAATAAAAATTAAATCACGACGTTTTGGAGGCAACACAAGCTACGTGCTGTGACTATTCCACCTGAAGACGGAAGCTTGTGTTGCCTCCGAAACGTCGTGATTTTTATTTTATTTTTATTTTACTTTTATTAATTTAAATTTTTTACCTACGTGACTTTACCGAAAAAACCTAAGAATATGAATACTTGCAGTCACGAAAGCTTCAAATCTAGAGTCACGTCGTTATTCACGTGATCACGATTATTATTCACACAAGGACGTGCTATCAAGAAGGGACATGTCGCCTACTATAATATATATTATTTATGCTAAGGCTCCACACCGGGTGTTGTCATTGACGAATGCATTGTTGTTGACGTGCACCACTGCCAACGCAGCAGCGTCAGCAATACAACTTGTTCAAGTTGCATAATGAGTCGTTTGCTGCGTGTTGTTTTGTCATGAATACATTTAAAACGATGAGTCACCTGCCAAGATGCTAAGCAGTCCTCTTGAGGCCACTTCCTCCAGCTGTGGTTTGAGCGAGCTATTGCAGGGTCTGTGCCTTTATCTCCGATGCAGTGTCCCTTCTCGGCCAGTGTTCTTTTCAGAGGAGGGGATCCCCACTTTCGCCGATAAGACATCGTCAGTGCGAGTGGCCGCCACAACATTTGAAACCGTTGAGGGTTTAACATGAGCGGCACGCTGATGATGATGATGGGGGTGGTGTTCTCACGCGTTGTGTATTAATTCTAGATTTGAAGCTTTCGTGACTGCAAGGATTCATACTCTTAGGTTTTTTCGGTAAAGTCACGTAGGTAAAAAAATAATAAAAATAAAATAATAATAAATTAGAATAATTGATTTATTTTCGTTCTCTATTGTCGGGGGCCGCACTAAAGGCCACCAGAGGACCGCTAGTGGCCCGCTGGGCCTTGCAATGAAGAAAACTGCTTCTAGATTTGAAGCTTTCGTGACTGCAAGGATTCATACTCTTAGGTTTTTTCGGTAAAGTCACGTAGGTAAAAAATTAAAATTAATAAAAGTAAAATAAAAAATAAAATAAAAATCACGACGTTTCGGAGGCAACACAAGCTTCCGTCTTCAGGTGGAAGCTTGTGTTGCCTCCGAAACGTCGTGATTTTTATTTTATTTTTTATTTTACTTTTATTAATTTTCATTTTTTACCTACGTGACTTTACCGAAAAAAACCTAAGAATAAGAACACTGCTCCAAGGTGACAACTTTGACGAGTGACAGTCGTATAGGGGAGGCGTGGAGGCGCTTCGGTTAGCGCACTGGCGCTCACTCTCTACGTGTTACCAATTTAACGGAGCTCTATTGAATGATTGTGATGATTTCGATTTAAAGCTTTCGTGACTGCAGGGATTCATCTTCTTGGTTCTTTTGGTGAAGTCACGTAGAAGGGAAATAATACAATAAAAATTTTTTTTATATTAAATAATTATTTTTTTATGCTTTGTTTTTTATTATATAAAATAATTATTTTATTATGCTTTATTTTTATTATTTTATTACTTCCCTTCTACGTGACTTTACCGAAAGAAACAAAAAGATGATTGTGATGATGTTGATGATGTGTGTTGCAAAGGAGCTGTCCTGCCAGTGGCCCATGACCTCAGCCTAAATTAAGTTTAACGCGTAACAGTAAATGAACGGTATGTTTGTCAATCCGCTGCGGGTCAAGGCGGTTATTTCGAACATACTTCATGAACCACGCTCGCCAGCGCGGTTTGGCGAAAGCAAGGAACACATTAACGTGGGAGCATCGGCGTACAGTACAACAATGGATGTAGCTGCACTGCCCTCTGTTATACCCACCACGTAGCCTCGCAGCAGCCGATCAATAGTTCCTTGTTTAACTATTGATAGTCTTGTGCTGTAGAACACGCAGTGCCAAATACATGTGTGTGATGTTGAATTAGTGACCTATCATGTGTGGGGCATGTACAGCATCAACATTGCACACCATCTATTGATAAACACGAGGTTTAAATTCGCCATGCCACCTCAGTTCGATTCCAGCTCATGGCCATCACCAGTGACAATTAACTGAACCGTTCCTGGGCCTCCCCTCGGTCAACTCAGTCTTAAATGAGTACCTGGTGCAGTGTGGTAAACATCGTCACTCAGGAAGACAAAGGCGACCGGGTGTGGTGCTCGAGACACGAACCCCTCGCTAACAACACTTGCCCCAAATTGCTGTCAAGGATACAGGGGGGATCTTTGTTACATAAGGAGTAGGTGGCAACTTAGCATGAAGGCGTTTTCAGAATGGACTCTGACCCCGGCTGGTAACATACTGATCTATCTTCTTGGTTCTTTCGGTAAAGTCACGTGGAATGGAAATAATAAAATAATATAAATAAAACATAATAAAATAATTCTCACTTTATTTTATTATGTTTTTTTTATTTCCATACGTGACTTTACCGAAAGAACCAAGAAGATGAATCCCTGCAGTCACGAAAGCTTTAAATAGAAATACTGATCTATGCCAAACATTGCCACCCAGTAAATCCTCACCGAGGCTCAAGACTCTTTTTCACGAGGGTCCTGCCAAGTCTTCGCAGCAAGGGAATGATGTTGCTACTGCGTGCGTGTAATCCCATTTGAGCAATGTGGAGGGAATTTTTGCATAATTGGGATGTTTGGCCAATCTTGATTCCATTGTATGGGTGGGGGTGTTTTTTTAAAATCCTTTATATTAAGTTCACTTGCTTGCTTGCTTGCGCGCTTACGACCGTGCAAAATTTTCGGTCGTTTTTTAACCCACTTCCCGTGATCCAATCGAGCTGACATTTTGCACACAGATTCGTTGTGCGTGACAATGTATTTTCGTGAAAAAAATTTTCCCAAAATGTTACACTTTTTAGGATTTTTTTTTATATTTAATTACCAATTGCTTAATGGTGGCAGGCAATCATCTGACCCATAGGTGGCAGCCAACTCAAGCCAGAGGACGAGAGGACTCTAGCCGCCACGCATATAAAGGATTTATAGTGAAAAACTTTGTTTTTACGGGTTAATTTTTCTCTTTTAGCTTTGGGAGGGAATCGGAGAAGCCAGATGAAACAGGGAGTTAGAATGCTGAACGGGGGGAGAGAGAGTACAAGCACCACGTACAAAGGCGCCACAGCTGGGAATCGAACCCAGGTGCTTCTTACTGTGAGCGCACAAGGAGCCGTCCATAAATGACGTCAGGCGATTTTGGACGATTTTTGACTCCCCCCCCCCCATCGTCACACGACGTCACAAAAAGTCAGACATGACGTCACAAAGCTCTGCCGCCCCCTCCAAAAAATAAAATATGCTTCAAATCGCTTTAAACTATTGTCATTGTAGTGCGTATTTAATGTGGCGCTGCACTCTGATGTTGTAGGAGAAAAATTTATCAAAAAGTCTATTTAATTAAGTAGAACGTGTTGTCTATATTTATTTAAAGTTGCGCATTTTGATGTGACGTCACATTTCTCAAACCCCCCCATCCCCTCGTCACACATCGTCACAAATGTCTGACCCCCCCCCCTAGGTGCGTGACGTCATTTATGGAGCTGAAGGAGAGAGCAAGAGCCGAAGGAGAGAGGAGCCGGAGAGGAGGAGGTGGAGGGGGGAGGAGGAGGTGGAGGAGAGAGGAGGAGCTGGAGGGGGGAGGAGGAGGTGGAGGGGAAGGGCTGGAGGGGAGAGGAGGAGCCGGAGGAGAGAGGAGGAGGTGGGGAGGAGGAGGAGGCGGGGGAGGAGGAGGTGGAGGGGAGGAGGTGGAGGGGAGAGGAGGAGCCGGAGGAGAGAGGAGGACGTGGAGGGGAGGAGAAGGTGGAGGGGGGAGGAGGAGGTGAGAGGAGGAGCTGGAGGGGAGAGGAGGAGGTGGGGAGGAGGAGGAGCTGGAGAGGAGGAGGTGGAAGGGAGGGGAGGAGGAGCCGGAGGAGGAGGAGCCGGAGAGGAGGAGGTGGAGGGGAGGAGCCGGAGGAGAGGGGAGGAGGTGGGGAGGAGGAGGAGGCGGGGGAGGAGGAGGCGCCGGAGGAGGAGCCAGAGGAGGAGGTGGAGAAGAGGGGAGGAGCTGGAGGGGAGGAGGAAGAGGAGGTGGAGCCGGAGGAGAGGAGGAGGTTGTGGAAGAACGAAACGTTGAGAGCAGACGGAGGGAGAGAGGATCTGGAGGAGAGAGGAGGAGGAGGAGGCGGATCTGGAGGAGGAGGGGGAGGCGGGGGAGTCGGTCCCCTCCGCTCGTCGCGCGGCCTCCTCCCCGGCACCTCGCCGCAGCCCGCACTCGCAGCTCGCGGCCATCAGCAGCATGTCTTCGGGCTTCTCCTCCGGTGCGTACCCCTCTCTCGATCCTCCTCCTCCAGCGTGTCTGTCTGTGTGTGAGCCGTCGTAAAGTCCCACAGAGAGAGAGAGAGGGGTGGTGAGTGGGGCTCGCCGAAGTGGGCACCGAGGCTGCTGCTGCTGCTGCTGCGTCTCTCGGGTGATCCCGGGGGTTCGACAACAACAACAACATCATCGTGGCTATCACAGGGGGAGGGAGGAAAGGGAGAGGTTTCATCCCCTCGGCTGAACCCTCGACGTGGGTCTCCTGGCTTGTCGGCTCTGGAGGCTGGAGAGGCTCCCAGACTCATCATGGCTCCCGACTCGTGGGCCCCGTGTCTGTGTGTAGGCCGCGGCTCACGGTGGTCGCCGATGGCTTCTGGCTCTTGGGGGAGGAAGGGGGTTGGTTCTCGGTGTTGTTGTTGGTGTTGTTGTTGTTGTGGGGGGTGAGGAGGAGGAGGTCGCGACTGTGAGGGGGGCATCGGCCTCACGGGGCCCCCCGCACCTCCGGGGAAGTCGCGGCCTCCTGGCGGTGCCGTGCGGATTGGGGGGGGGGTCCTGGCTCTTCTTGGCTCCTTTATCCGCCCCCATCGATCTCGACGACCAGAGCCCCCTTCCACCATGTACAGCAGCAGCAACAGCAGCAGCTATAGCAGTAGCAGCAACAGCAGCAGCTATAGCAGTAGCAGCAACAGCAGCAGCTATAGCAGCAGCAGCAGCTATAGCAGTAGCAGCAGCTATAGCAGTAGCAGCAGCTATAGCAGTAGCAGCAGCTATAGCAGTAGCAGCAGCTATAGCAACAGCAGCTATAGCAGCAGCTATAGCAGTAGCAATAGCAGTAGCAACAGCAGCTATAGCAGTAGCAGCAGCAGCTATAGCAGTAGCAGCAGCAGCTATAGCAGTAGCAGCAGCAGCTATAGCAGTAGCAGCAGCAACAGCAGCAGCTATAGCAGTAGCAGCAGCTATAGCAGTAGCAGCAACAACAGCAGCAGCTATAGCAGTAGCAATAGCAGTAGCAACAGCAGCAGCTATAGCAGTAGCAACAGCAGCAGCAGCTATAGCAGTAGCAATAGCAGTAGCAACAGCAGCAGCTATAGCAGTAGCAACAGCAGCAGCAGCTATAGCAGTAGCAATAGCAGTAGCAACAGCAGCAGCAATAGCAGTAGCAACAGCAGCAGCAGCTATAGCAGTAGCAATAGCAGTAGCAACAGCAGCAGCTATAGCAGCAACAGCAACAACAGCAGCAGCTATAGCAGTAGCAATAGCAGTAGCAATAGCAGCAGCAGCTATAGCAGTAGCAATAGCAGTAGCAGCAGCAGCAGCTATAGCAGCAACAGCAACAACAGCAGCAGCTATAGCAGTAGCAATAGCAGTAGCAACAGCAGCAGCAGCTATAGCAGCAGCAGCTACAGCAACAGCAGCAGGTTCTCAGAGCTCCACCTGGTCCATCCTAAGGTGGCTATCAAGGGTCCCGACTCCTCGAGAGGGAGACGGGGGGGGGGGGTTCAGGCCCCTACTACGCCCAGGCTACTCAGGGGACCCCGACCTCTTGATTCCGTCTCCTCAGCCGCGGCCCATCGACCGCCGTGCGTGGCGCTTCTCCGACCGCTGCTCTCCTCCCCGCGTCTCGTTCGTCGTGCCCCCCTCTCCTTCTCCTCCTCCTATCTCCTCCTACCTCCGCCGTTGCCGACAGGGCGGCTAAATGCCCGTGCGAGATAAAACAACAACAATAATCCAGAGTCGTCGTTTGCGCGACTCCATTCCGAATCGTCACCCGCGCGCGGCCTTGACGGGGAGCCGCGACCTCGGCCTCGCCTGGAACGCCCGCCCGGGGAACGTCGCCTCGGCCCCGGGGGGTGGTGGAGTCGTCGGGGGTCGGTGTCGGTGTCGGGGTGGCGAGCGTGGTTATCGAGCCCCTTGGATCTGTTTGAGGCAGGGCATGGCGATGGAGCTTAACTCGTGTCTCACCGCGTGTGTTTCTCTCTCTGTCTCTCTCTCCCCCCCCCGTCCCGTCTCCTACTCTCTCCGTGTCTCCTGCAGGATCGGACACATGTTCTGCCATGGACGGCGAGGTGAGTGTCGTGGCGTATTCTGTGTTTTGTTTGTTCTCCTCGTATTCAGTCGAGGTGGGGTGGGTTGGTAGTTAAAGGTGCGTTGGCGACTGACGCCACTGTCGTTTTGCGCATCGTAGTAGAACTGCGAGCGGTAAGGGCGGCTTTGGTGAGGCTTTCTTTATCCAGCAGTGGATTATTGATCGAGACCGACGGACGGGGTGGTTAGTGGTGGTGGTCGTGTTGGATCCAGACCTACTTCCTCACCGCCACCAACCACCACCACCACCAACATCGGCAACTCGGTTAACGCATCTCGTTTGCTGCGGTTGATTCGGATGTCGGATTGAAAACGAGTGCCTGAAAGATATCGGTGTGCGAGTTGTTTGAAACGTGCTTTGGTTGTGCGGTGGTGGTGGTGGTAGCGGTGGTGTGGCGGTGAGTGATGATGGTGGTGATAAGAGGTGCAGGAAGTCATGGCGGTGCTGATGGTGGAGGTTGGTGGTTGGTGGTGGTGGCCATGATGGTGTGAGCGGGAGACGTATCGTGGTGGTAATAATCAAGGTGGAGGAGGAGGTGGTAATGGTAGTAGTGGTGGTCATTACGGTGATGAGGTTGGTAGAGTTGGAGGTCGTGGTGGTGAAGGCAGTGATGGTAGGTTAGTGGTCGTGAGCATGGTGATGTTGCTGGTGATGGAGGTATTGGTCGTGGAAGTGATCATGGTGGCAATGACGTTGATCATGGTGATGAAGGCAGTGATGGTGGTGATGATGGAGGTAGTGGTGGTGATCGTGGTGGTGATAATGTTGACCATGGTGATGGAGAGATAGTGATGTAGATGGCGGTGGTGGTGGCAGAGGCGGTCATGGTGGTGATAATGGTGATGGAATTAATGGTGGTGATGTAACGAGTGATGGTTAATGGAGCTAAATGTTATGGTGGTGATGGAAGTGGTGGTGGTGGTGTAATTGCTGATGGAGGTGTTCATTAAGTCGTGGTTCTGATGGAGATGGTGGTCATTGAGGTGGTGGAGGTGTTGACGATGAAGGTAGTAGTCGTAAAGTTAATGATGGATGGAGTCATGTTAATGGTGGTCAAGATGGTGACGATAATAGATGGATGTGTTGGAAGTATTAGTGATGAAGGTTGTGTCTAGCAGTTAGCACGCTGCGCTACGAACCCAGCGATCCGAGTTCGATGCCCGCACACGGCCAACACCAGTGAGGATTATCTGAACCGGTCCTGGGCCTCCCTTAGGTTGACTCATCCTGAAATGAGTACATGGTGTGTAAAATATCACCACTGGGGAGACAAAGCCGGCTGGGCGTGGTGTTGACCACCCACCCCCTCGTGAGCCGTGCCGGCCTTCATAGGTGCTCACTAACAGCACTTGCCCCAACAGTCCGTTCAGGCTATACGGGGTATCTTTGTCTTTGATGATGAAGGTGGTCATCAAATTGGTGGTGTCTGTAATGCACGTGGTGGGGATGAAGGCCGTGGTGTTTGGAGGTAGTGGTAGTGGATGTGTTGGTTGTTATAATTATATGGTGGTGGTATGTGTTGTTCGTGATAATGGTGGAGATTATCATTTGTGATGATGGAAGGTATGATGTTGGTAGTGAGGATGATTGATGTAGTAATTGTGGTGATGTTGATACTGTCATGGTTATTGTAGTGGTGGTAGAGGTGATCGTGGTGGTTAAGAGTTGTGAATGTGGTGTTGATGGGAGGTGATTATGAATCTAGTGGTGATGGTGGCAATGGTGGTGATAATAAGGTGATGATGGTTAAATTGGTGGTTGGCAATTAAGATAATGAATGTGTTGGTGGTGATAAGGATGGAATAGCTATTGTGTTCGTGGAAAAGATGGAAGTGATGAAGGTGGTGGCCATGGTAGTTAAAATGGATGTGACAGCTATTTTGGTGGAGGTGTCGGATGAGTTGGGTGATATGAAGGCTACCGTTGTCATCGAGGTGGCGATGAGGGGAAAGTTGTGGGCGGTGTTTAAAGTGGTCAAGTTAGTGGTGTTGGTGACGACTGTATGTTGAACTTCTTTCGCGCAAGTATGTAACCAACCGTGCTCATCGGAGATGTGGAGGTGGCTGTGGTGTAAGTGATGGTCGTTGATCGATGAGAGTTGAAAATTGCGCTGGCTATATTGGAAGATTTTTATTTTATTCTTTGGAATGTGGGCATCGACAGTAATCCATCATTTGTTGCCCATCCCGAGTTGTCCTGAGAAGGTGGTGGTGCTGGGCCGTCCCCTTGAACTGCTGCTTTAGCCCGTGAGATAGTATCCCCCTCGCCTGGTATATAGGAGGTCGTGGGTTCCATCCTGACCCTAACGCCTGTATACTTGGAGTTTTCATGTTCTCCCCGTGGTCGCGTGGATTTCTCTCCAGGTACTCCCGTTTTTCCCTCCACATTTAGAATCAACATGTGTTTAGAGTGTTTGGCTGCTATACATTTTCACATGATAAGCCACTTCGTTGAGCTGTCATATGTGGCTAGGTTGCTTCTGAAAAAGAGCGAAACAGCTCAGTGGGCCTTACTTGGTAAAATTAAGATAGTTTAGTTTAGTTTCAGTTTCCCCTTCCCACAATGCTGCTTACTAGGGAGTTGCAGGATTATGAACCAGCGTATTTGCATTGGTGATAATGGATGTGATGGTTATTGTGGTGATATTATTTGGTGGAGGTAGTTGTGATGAAAATGGGGATAGTCATGGAGATTCTGTTGCGGAGGTAATGGAGGTAGTGGTCATGGTGGTCGTGATGATACAAATGGTCGTGGTTGGTGTTGCCTTTCATTGTGGAGGCGATGGGATATATGTCCAGGGGTCGGTGGTGGCCACATGCATTGGTGAAGGTGATGAAGGAGATGGTCACGATGTGGTAGTGGTGTTGTAGATGGGGATATAGGGTGGTGGTCTTGTGATTGTCATGGTTACAGTGGTGATGGTGCTGATGATTAAGATGGAGGTAGATCCCATGATAGTGAAGTATGTTTTGTTTGAGAGAATGATGGTGGTGCTGAATTGATCTGGTGATGGCAGTCTCAGTGGTGCTGATGCTGTAAATCAGATTCAATTGGATTTGAAATCGTATATTCATCATCATCAGCAGCCATAATCAGTCTACTGCTGAATGAAGGCCTCCCCAAGATGTTATCATCTCCTGGTTCTGCAATATAACAACACATTACATTACAGTTCTTTAAATGATCACAGCCTGGCAACGTGTTTTAATTTAATGAGCATCGCACTTTCAATTTAATAAAAAAAAAACATTTTGCTGTTTTCAACGTATGACAGAATATAGCTTTAATCATATTCTATATTAATTATAAGATGCATGAAAGGTAAATGTGCAGCCCTGCAAATGCTTGCGCACAGCACTGCCGGCAGGAGAGCCTCCACCGCAGAGAGATCTTAGATCATCAGTGTCGGGGGTATTTTTGGTCCGCTGTTCCACGTCGGCCAGACCCTTTTTGGAAGGGGGTGGGAATACCCACACTTTTCCCCACCACGCGTGACTTGCCGATCAACTAACTGCGGGTTCAACCAATGTATACTTCTGGATGGACAAAGGCGGGAAGATTTAAGAAACTTGCACCATTATTACAACCGCCACGCCTTGAGATTGAATCAATGATCTCTGGATTGCAAATCAAGGTGTGGTAACAATTTTGCCACTGCAAATTACTGCGTACGATGTATCTCAATACACTTTTGTAGAAATAGTTGTACATCATATGTAAATGAATAAAATGACTCGAATAGAATAAAAATAAATGTTAACGTGATTTTGTAAGTTATGTTGGAGGTGATGTAAGAGATTAAGGCAATCTGGAGGGTAGTGTTTGTATAGCGATACAAGGCTTCCTACTTAACCGAGCCACCCGTGTTTATTCACAGCAATGTCTCAAGGCCAAACGGATCTTCAGTCCCATTACGTGTCCATTCGATATATTTATATTTTTGATTCTGTCCATGCGGTTCATCGTACATCTCCCCCAAGGCAAAGGGCACAGTACAGTACTTGCAGCTGAGCTTCTGGTGGTAATGCGAAGCTCCTTATTACGAGGTACGAGGCAGCAGCAGTGACGGTCTCATCGTCATGTTATCGTCATCATCTTCATCATCCTCAGGAATAATAATTAATTGTCATTCCTGGTGATAATGAAGTGCCATTACGGACAGTGCAGATGTGTAGCTTTTAAACATGGGCCTTGGAAAGTCTCGCAAACTTAATATAATGACTTGGGCAATTAAAATATGAAATGGAAAATTGAGATTCGGAACTTAATTTTCATCTTGCAATCCAATTTGCATAGGAATATGTTATATCTCGCATGTAATTGGTGCAAAAGTAGAGACACTGGAATAATATTTTATATCTGGCCTCCATTCTTTAGGAAACCTGGTGATTTGCGAAAGAGTTTAATATCGTGGCCAAATCCATAGGTTTGGAGTGGGTGGAGTTCGCGGCGAAGTGGATTATCTCGCTGCACTTTAAAAACAAGCTACCCAAGTCCGATTCCCGGGCCACGGCTAACATCAGTGGCAGATGATCTCTGAAATCAGTCGTGGGAGCCCGCCCACTTGACCCAACCCACAACTGACGACTCTACCCTTTGCAGTCCCTTCCCCAACCGCGGGCCTATGCTGGCCACGTGCCAAAAATTGTATATTTGGCTTCACTTTTATTTTCAAACTTCTGTTTGGTCGAACACAAACTACAAAAAAAAGCAAGCGGCCACTATTCGGCCAAATCAGAACCCAAAGCGAATATTCTCTGCGTGTGTACTGTGGTCTTACAATAAACGACACTCGGATAAAAAAAAAACGTGGATTGGAAGCTGGAGTCATTTGCCGATTTGTGTTTACGTGTTTTGTTGTTGTTCGCAGACTTCCATTAAGACCAAGCGTCATCGCACAGTGGAGGACTTCAACCAGTTCTGCACGTTTGTGTTGGCTTACGCTGGCTACATCCCACACTCCGACGAAGTGAGCATCCGCCAGCACCTCCCAGAATGACTGCAAGCGATGCAATGATTCGGAAATTTAACATCGATTCTTGCACCAGTGATATGTCTCGTTGAATTGTGTGTGTGTGTTTAAGAATCAATTGTCTATACGTATTTCAAAGCACTGCGCATGCAAATTATATGACGTAGCTTTAGGCTGATGAATAAATGACGTGGACTATACAGAACAAATGACACGGGCTATATAGATATATATCAAACGGAAGACTATGTACTTTCCAAACAATACAGACATTACAAATGAAAAAGACGCAACGAGATGAAGAGGACAAAAATGACACCACGAGATAGGACAGAATACAAATGACAGACTTTTCTTCTGTGACGGGCATTACGAACAAGAGAGAGACTTTACAAAGGATACCGACGAAACTGAGCCATTCGTTCTCGTCGCCTGAAAAGGGGGAGGCCTTTGTGAGTGGACCGAGGGAACGAGCGGCGCGTTTTTTTGTCTCCCCAGGGCGGGAGCGTGAACGCGACCCTGAGCGTCGGCACCACGGACAGCTCTCTGGACGGGGACAGCTGGACGTCGGCCCGCTCCCCCCGCCCCCAAACCCACGAGGGCAGTGCCCCCAAGAAGCCCAAGCTGTCCGCGGGCAAAGGGCAGGGCCAGGGGCACGGCCCCGGGCCACTCGCGACGCAGCCCTCGAGCAACGGGGCCGGCAGCGGCGGAAAGGGCAGCGGTGGCATCCGTCGCGCAAAGGCGGACGGCTCGCTCGCTCACCGCAGGCACCACCATCATCACAACCGCCACCGCCACCACCGCAACCACCGCAACCACCATCACAACCACCGCAATGGAGGAGGAGGAGGAGGAGGAGGGGGTGGAGGAGCTGGTGTTGGTGGAGGAGGTGGGTTGGGAGGCGGTGGAGGCAACAACAACAACGGCAGCAACAGCAGCAGCGGCAGCAATGCCCGCCACTTCCCGGCGGTCAAGAAGCACAAGTCGCAGGCGCGACTGTCCATGTCGCCCGTCAAGCAGAAGGTGAAGAAGAGCAAGAAGAAGAAGAAGGCCGAGAAGGCCGAGAAGGCGAAGTTGTTGAAGGCGGCGGCAGCGGCGGCAGCGGCGACGCAAGCGGCGGCCGCCACCGCAACCGCCACCGCAACGACAACGACGCCGGCCAAGGACGAGAAGAAGATGGCCGCGGCCAAAGCGTTTGCGTCGGCGGCGGCCGCCGCGCTGGCTCGGGCCATCAAGACGGAGCCGGTCGCCGACGACGACGATGCCGGCGAAGACGGCGACGTCGCCGGCGGCGGAGATGGAGGCGCTGGCGCCGGATCGACCTCGGAACTCGACACGGACGAAGAGATCGAGGCCATCCTGGCGCGCGAGCGATCCTGCGGGCTCCGGCTGCCGCGAGTCGCCGGACGAGAGGACGCCGACGAAGACGGCGGCGACGAGGACTTTGACGAGAACGACGAGGACTTTGACGACGACGACGATCTCGACGACGTCGATTACGACGACGTGAGGGTGGCGCCCAAGAGGACAGAGGCGGCGGCAACGAGGACGTCGTTGGCGAGGAAAATGCCGGGGCTGAGGGCGTGCGGCAAGAAGTCGAAGGTGAAGGCTTACCGGGACCAGGACGACGAAGACATTATGGTGGACTCCGGTAAGAACCGAGGGCTCCGTGCGTGACATGTCGAGGAGGAGGGCCGTGGGGCTTCGCGATGCTCATTAATGACGGCAATCGCGTGACGGCAGCATCGAGGTGCTGGGGCTGTTTGCAGAGGTCGCAACCGGGTACCCGATACCCGTACCCTACCCGATACCCGGCTACCCGTACCCGGCCGGGTACGGGTAGCCGTTTGCGACCCTGGTGCGGCCGGGTACGGGTAGGCCGTGAGTCACTGGTGAGTCACCGTTTGTCACTCATTTCCCAACGTCTTGTCTCTTCTCACAATTCAAGTCCCTAGAATCAACCCACCCGCGCCTGCAACATGGCTTCATCCCAGAGGTCGCAATCAGGTACCCGATACCCGTACCCTACCCGTACCCGGCCGGGTACGGGTAGGGTACGGTTACGGCCGGGTACGGGTACGGGTACCAATTTGCGACCCTGGTGCGGCCGGGTACGGGTACGGGTAAGGAATCAAAACCCGTTTGCGACCTCTGGCCGTTTGTGAAAAACAAAATCCAGCAGTGGATTGGTAAACGATTGTGAGAGTTAATATTCGTTTGTGTGTGTGGGGGAGCGGTAGTGGTAGCGCAGCGGGTTAGCGCGTTGCACTACGAACCCGGCGACCTGAGTTCGATTCCCGCTCACGGCCAGCACCGGTGACAATTATCTGAACCGGCCCTGGGCTAGGTCGACTCGACCTCAAATGAGTACCTGGTACAGTGTGTAAGCATCGCCACGAGGGAGACAAAGGTGACCGGGCGGGGTGTTGGCCACCCACCCCCCTCGCGTGCCCTGCCTGCCTTCATAGGTGCTCGCTAACAGCACTTGCTCCACAGTCTGTTAAGGCTATACGGGGGGGCGGGGACCTTTGTCATTGTTGTGTGTGTGTGTGCGTGAAAGTGAGTCTGTGCGTGTGCATGCACGTGCGCGCGTGTGTGTGGTGAGCGGTAGTGCAATGGTTATCATGCTGTGCTACCAACCTGGTGTCCCGAGTTTGATTCCCGCTCACGACCTGCTCGTCATACTGCTATTGATGTATTGAGTTATATTTGTCCGTCGTTAAAATTTTTACTTGAGAACCTTGAGCAGGGTAAACATGAGCCCCCTGCGCACACGGCCAACCCTTGCCGTGCGCGTGGCGACAGAGTGACCGTGGTGGAGGTGACGGTGGCAGTGATGGCGGCGGTGATGGCGGCTGTGACGGCGGCGGTGACAGTGACTGTAGCAGTGATGGCGGCGGTGACGGCAGTGGTGACAGTGACCGTGGTGGAGGTGACGGTGGCAGTGACGGCAGTGGTGACAGAGTGACCGTGGTGGTGGTGACGGTGGCAGTGATGGCGACGGTGATGGCGGCGGTGACGGTGACCGTAGCTGTGATGGTGACGGTGATAGCGGCGGTGGCGGTGACGGTGACTAGCTGTGATGGTGATGGCGGCGGTGACTGTAGCAGTGATGGCGACGGTGACGGCGGCGGTGACGGTGACTGTAGCTGTGATGGTGACGGTGATGGCGGCGGTGATGGTGACGGTGACTGTAGCTGTGATGGTGACGGTGATGGCGGCGGTGACGGTGACTGTAGCTGTGATGGTGACGGTGATGGCGGCCACGGTGGCGACGGCCACGCTGGCGGTGACGGCCGCACTGACGCTGGCGCTGGCGGCCACGGTGTTTAAACAGCGCCGGGCTCGCCGCCGATGCTTTCCGTCAGCTGTCCGTCTGACATTTCCCCACGCTTAAGTTTCAGCCGCGTCAAATGTTGCTTTTCCTTTGTCGACCGGCGTAGTAAAGTACGGTCGTACAACCCCTTCCCCCGTGATCGACCCGGCACGGCGCGAGGCCTTTTTGTCCGCAGTGGATTCATAGACAGCCTTGCATCTGTGCATGCTGTGGCACAGTTCCCGTGTGGAGGAATTAAATCTGAATCAGAATATTTATTAATACTGGAACAATCCGATGAGCTCCAGAGCTCTTTTTCACACATCCAGTATTCCAGAGATATTCAGTAAAATGTGTTCCAGGCGCCTGTGGTGGGTGGGGGGGGGGGAACTTGCTGTGCTTGAGTGGATTAACATTAAATCCCACTTACGCAGAGGACAAGCGTCTCTACGCATAGCCACCCCCAGTCTATCGACCGCCTCAAAACAAATGTGGAAAGCGCGGCCTCTCTGAACTTGGTGGCGTATAATGGGGCATTTCTCTCAGCTGGCGGGTATGTCGGCTGGTCTGTTTGTTTTGATCGCCGTTGCTGAACGCAATGCCAAGGGTCTGTAATGTACAAGCGGGGCAGCGACTGAGAGCGCTGCTGGTACCGTCGGCTTCTCCTGTAAACGCGTGTGATTTTCTCAACGCGAGTTGGATACAGCACGATTAATGTTTTTGGGGTGGGGGTGGATACAATTTTTTATAACGCCGATGTGAATTGGATATAACATGATCGAGCGAACGGAACTACGTTGCGCTGGTAGGAATAAGCGGTCGTACGGCTGCCTCGGCATGGCATCGCACAAGGCGGGATGCTGCTGGATGCTTGTCGATAGCCACCCACGCGCGCGCCTCAGTTTTTGTTCGACCTGCGTATGCATCTCGCGTGCGATCGTGGACTGTGCTTTAGTCTGCATCGTCGTGTATTATCATAACGCGATCTTTCCTTAACGCGGCGTTCGTCAGGAACGCAACTACTTGCTGCCGCGTTGTAGGAGAACAGGCTGCAGAACTGCGTGATGGGGAATTCGCGCTCTTCTCGGACGTAGCGAGGCTGTGGGGTAAGGGACGACGACAGGGGGGGGGGGGGGGTGCTTCGTAAGGACGAGCAGTTGCGGGGGAAAGTCGGAAGTTGGGGTGGTCGTCTTGTGGCGGCGGTAGACGACTCGGTGTGGCCGTGGAGGGGTATGACGAGCTCTCGACGTTGGCGGAGTTTGGACAAGGCGCGATGCTCGTGGGAGGAACGGGTGACCGTGGAAATTGCCGATTAGAAGAGTGACGAGAAAGCGGCTGATAGGCGGTGTGGTGCTGGCACAAGCCGAAGGCAAGTCGGCGAGCCATGAACAGCACAACCGCAAAAACCTTCGCAGCTGTAATCATCGTTGGTGTGATGACTAATCTTATTTACTTTTTTTCTCTCCCACACTCCTCTCCCCAATTCTCTCCCATCGCCGCTGCCGCCACCGCTCATCTGCCGCACGACCCCTTACCGTCCACCCGCCCACGATTCATCGCCTGCCCCGCTCTCCCTCCCACCCGGTCACCCGCTCGCCGCCTCTTCAACCCCCCGGGCCGCCACTGTCAACAACGGCGCCGGCGTCGTAAAGCAGACGACGCGTCGTGGAAGCTCATCACGTGCTACTGCATGAAGCCGTTTGCCGGGCGGCCGATGATCGAGTGTGACGAGTGCGGTACTTGGGTGCACCTCTACTGCGCCAAGATCCGCAAGTCCAACGTGCCGGACGTGTTCGTGTGCCAGCCGTGCCGGGAGGCCAAGCACGACATTCGCCGCTCGAGCCGAGCCCACAGGAGCCCGCGCAAGCACCTCCCGGACTGACGTACCCCACGTGCGGCTCCACCATTGTGTCGAGCTGCGGCCAAAACTCAGCGCTTCTCCAGGACTGACGTACCACCAGCCCGCCGTGTCCCCTTGCACGCGTCAACCCCCCCCCCTCCCCATGCATCTCCACCACTATCAAAGCGTTCCCGGACTGACGTACCGCCAGTCACGGATCCTCCTGCCCCTCTTCCCCTACCTCGTTGTGTCTTCCCTGTCCTGTGCCTCCACTATCCCTGTGTCTTTTCATGCATCTTGTCTTCACTACCAGAGCTGATAGGAAAACTCACCACCTGACCGATGGTACCACTAGACTGATGGTACCACTACAATACCAGAGCTGCTATTTAAAGTTATTAAAGTACTGGACACCCCCAAGACTGACACACCACACCACCAACCCCCCCCCCCCCCCGTCTCCCCCCCTCCCCGTGTCCCCAGATTTAACGGCACACACGCAAATGTGTGCAGCATCGGACTCAGCCTTATCCAGACCACCAGGTCAAAATAACTGAATGTGTGGCCATTTTGTTGTTTAGACCACCAATTGAAAGAGTTGAGGATATGTGGCCCTTCCCATAGGCAGCATTTAAACATGAAGAAGAACGTAGACCGGCTTTTGTCACGTCAGTCATCAGTGTCTCTGGAAGCCTCGTATATGAAGAGGACTCGCCTTTACAATATGGGGGACACCCATTGGCATTTGCCCAAAGGCAACAATCATTTGAGTCTGTAAATTACGAGACAACAGAAGATAAACATTACTGCAGGAAACATTTTAAAACACGCAGGTGTGCGACAATGCACGTACAAAAAGCCGTCAGTCTTGAAAAGAAAGCAAAAAAACTGAACCTCCCAGTCACTTCCCCACCTCCCTGCCCTCCCCTGGTGTCTATCCATTGCCAGATATATGAGATAACTATAATAAAAACAATTATAATAATCATAACAAAAACATCAGAGCAGCTCCTGGACTGACGTACCACTGAACCAACTCCTCTGTTTGTCTCCATTTTCCAGAGCTGTTGAAAAAAAATAATAACAACAAAGATTCTGCACGTACCACTGGACTCTCCTTCCCTCTCGCCGTGTCTCTTCACTGCTCCCAGAGTTACGAAACATTTCATCAAGCAGAGACTTAATTCTATTTGGACGAGCCTTTTGTGTTTTAGGTGAAATTCTTTGTTAGTATTTTGAATGCGATTTTTTTTGTTGTTGAATAGATTTTTTATTTACATTCAAAAATGTACCTAAATCATATCCTGAGTACAGCAAGTAAGTATCGATTACTTGATGCTGCCAATATTACTATTGGAATCAAGTAATTGGATGAATAATTCGTTTGGAAATCTGGCAGAGTTGTCTCTAGGGCTCGGCGTATCTGAAAACGGGCTGCGGACGAGATCTGAAAAATCCTCCGAGTGGCTGATTTAACTTCTACAAAGGAGAGGGGGCTCTCTCCCATGCACTCTGATTTAAGCTTATCTGTCAAAATGATCGTCACACTTTGCATGTGATGTGTTATATTTGGCAGTTATTGGTTACCTGGCTGACCATCAATTCACGAAGCTTGTGTTTAAACCACGGTCGGTTGAAAACCCAGCTTTGAACCTCTGATTTCAGTGGCACCCTCTAGGGTTATTGTCATCTGTATGCCCTTTAGCTTTACACATTTGTCAGTTATTCGTATTTTCTCTGTTTAACTTATTAATTTGAAAACATTGTAAAAAAAAATTAGTTGAAAACTGCCCTTCATTTTTTTCAAATTTTCGTATCAAAAATGCAAGTCGTTTCCGTTACCTTTTCTGTTCTCTCTCTCGTGACATTTCATAGTTTTTTTTATCTTCAATTTGTACATTTCCCGTTGATATTGTTTATTACTTATGTTTGTATATTTTTCCTTTGCACTGACGCCTTGTATACAGTGGTTCCCTCGTTAATTGTGAATAAGCTATTAAATACTTTAGATTTATCTCATCACTTTCTCTCATGACATACTCTGTCATCACTTTATCTCACCACTTTATCTCGTTTTTTTCCCTCTCGATGCAGTGGTCGTGTAGGGTTCCAGATGTGATTCGCGGATAGCCAAAATCACGGCTAGGAAGTTCGTGAATAACGGGGAAATGCTGCACTTTTGCTGTGATTGTTGCACGCATGCGAGTGCACAGACACGGTGATACATTTCCCCCGCCCCATCCCGCTGTTCCTCTCCTCTACCCTCTGCGACTTGACGCCTCCTCTCTCTACAACGAAAACGACATGACGACGCCCCACCCACATCGACGATTGATTTCTGTAGTATCGTAAAAAAAAAAATAGTTGTCAAGACTATTTCAAGCAAGTTTGCTGCACGTCCATTGCTTTTTTTTTTATAAATCCCTGCAACACAAAAGAAAGGATTTGGAGGAAGCGTTCTGCAGGGACAAACGAAAGCCACCGCCCGTAGTTTTTTGAACAAACGAAAAAACTTGGCGAAAAGGGGTTTCGCCGTTTTTCAATCTTGTTTTGTAAGATGCCGTTACAAGCCTCGTCCGGACAAAAAATGTCACGTGGGGTAAGTGGTGGCAGCGCAGCTGAAAGAAGGTCCGCGAAGCCACCACCACCACCAACGCCGCCACCACCACCACGTGGGTTGTTCAGGCAGCCCAGAGGAGGGCCTGGGTGCCCACGACGGTGCTTGCAGGGCGGCGGGGCCCGTGCTCTCACCTGGCGAATTCCGGTTTGCGTATCACGTGGCCGGACTAGAAGAGCCCGCCGCCTTGTCCGTGCGCCGGGGTTCTCGGTGAACGTGAATGCGCCAGGGTTGCCGGTGGGCAGGAATGAGGTTGGCACGATGCGTGTTTGATCGTCGGCACTGTTTGCGCGAATTTGTTGCGCCGTGTCGCGGGGCCGAGCTAAAGATACAATTTAGCTGAGAGGACTGCTTCGGTGTACACCAGGGGTGAACAGCCTATGGCCCGTGGGCCGGAAATCATATCGGTCCACTGTTTCTTTAAAAATGTCTTTGCGTCATTTCATCCGATGCTGCTGCTGCTGCTGCTGCAAGTTGGTTCTGATTTTGTGGAATAGTTGAGCAGTATGTTTGCCCCGCAATTATTTCTCAACAACTGCACCCGTTGCCCTTGCAACGGAGTCGGCGTTCTGTTTCCTTTGTTTTTACCCGCTATCAGACGGACCCACGGCACGCAGCAACGTGTGCGTTGATTCATATATGGGATGTTAAAACCCCATTCCGATGCTTAACATTCTTGAGGCGGAAGTTTCCTCTCGCATTAAAATAAAATTGAGCGCTAAACTTTTTTGTAAAATGGTTTGGATGGAGACCATGCCACTCTGACTATTGACATTGGTCTGCTAATCGTTCAGTGGTGGGCTGGATCGTTTTCACCGCCAGCTCTTGAGTCACCATCCTTTACCCCCTGGCTCCTTGGCTCCTCAGCATCCCATAGACAAGGACTTAACAAAATCCTGGTGCTAAAAATAATGATTAAAAAGTCCCTTTGTTACCCGACGATGGGTTTGGGAGTGCAAACACCAACGTCGCTCCCACCTGCCATTTTACGCCATCCTTCATGCAGCTTCATGTTTTTTTTTCTCCCTCTTAGATGTCGTACGCTTAGAAGGGGCCCTCAAAACACGGCCTGTTGGGACCGAAGCCATGGGACTCGCGTGCCGGATTTTGTCTGTGGGTCTGGGGGGGGGCACCGTGTGGCGTCTTTCTTTGCGCCAGGATATCCGCAGTGGGAACCGAATTGACTCGGGATTCGTGAAACCTTTGGCGGCACCTTGGACGAGTGTCGTCGTCGTCGTTGTAGTTTTTACACCGACGAGTCTCGGAGGAAGGAAGTGATGCTCACGTTTGTGAACGCGGGAGGGGGGGGACCAGGCGCGCTCCACCTGGCGGCGGCGGCGGCGTCGTGGATCGTGTCGGGTGGGTTCGCGTTTTACGAATCCACCTGCCGTTGATTTTTTTGCGTGTTTTGTTTTTTAAATCGTCGTTTGTGTTTTTTTTTTTAAGCGAACCTGTAAAACGGTGCGAAAGCGAGTGCCTATTTGCATGTGTGGGGAGGGAGGCAGCGCTCCTCCTCGTCCTCCCGAAGACGAAACGGAGAGAAATGTGCGCGCAAAGGGAGGATGCGCTATCTAATGATGCTTCTGAGAAGCTGAGCACGTGTTTGTGTGTGTGTGTGTGCGCGCGCGCGATGAGACTTCAAGGCACGACTGTGGTCTGTCTCGATTTTTTTCCCGTCCCTTTTTTTTTATTGGGCCCCCCCCACCCCCACTCCCCGAAAATAACGATGAGCGCACAGTGTATTGTAGACAAAGCCAAGGATAATGATCCGTTATGTCAGCTCATCTGATGTGGTGTTTGAAGCGGCGTTACAGAAGTGCACTTTGAAGGTTTCGGGCTGTCTGTTCGGAACTAATGTCGACGACATCTGTGAAGTGCAATCGAGTTTGGTGACGGTCGATCGATCGATGGGGCGTTGGGTGGCGCACGTGGAAATTATTGGGAAGCCCCACAACTCAATCCAAAAATGTTCGAAAATCTTAGTGTCCGGCATGCCGTCGGCTGACCTCGTACAACGTTACCGTTAATCCGTCGTTCGCGACAGCTTTTCAAAATTAACGTCGGATTTTTTTGTTGTGGAAAACTGTAGAGGTCGTGGTACAGCAGACGCCATGAAACGGTGGTGTATGGTGGGATTTCCTAACGCGCACTGTGATTACACTGGAAATCGGCCGTGGTGGCGGCAGCAGCGCCGGCGAATGACATGCAAGTCTGTAACCCCGAGTTTTCCTTTTTGTCAGTTGAGTTAAACGGATGTCTGGACAACACATTGTGCGCTGACATTTGATCTTGTCCTGTTCAAATGTTAAGCCGTAATTGGGGGGTGGGGGCCAGGGTGGTTGGATTTTCAGAGGGCTTGCAGAAACGAGACTGTCACTAAGAATTCAAAAGTGAATGCGACTTGAGCTTACAGGATGGAAGACATAGGAGTGATGAGGATGATGATGATGGTAGTGATAATGTCTCGTACATGGACCTTATCTAACAGCTGAGTTTTTTACAAAAAACTTAGGACACTGGTGAAAAAAAGGAACCCTGGTTTACACTCAATGTGATGATTTCCAGTTGATTCGAGTCATCGTTAAGGCCACGATCTATTGAAAATTGTCGGGGCAATCGTTGGCGGAAACTGTCACCAGCAACGCATTAACCGCGATCGACTCTGGCAACTTGGCGAGCAAGTTACAGACCTGAAGAGTCATTCCTTAATGCAGCCCACTATTACCAGTCGTTGAGTCGGTCACTCGGGGAAAACAGTACTTTTCGATATATAACAGGTAAAGTCACGTAGAAGGGAATAATAAAATAATAAAAATAAAACATAAAATACAATTCTCACGACGTTTCGGCCACAATGCAAGCAGCCATCCTCAGGTGAAGAATAGGTCTGTCGGAAAGACAGCGTCTGAATGAACACCACCAAGCTTGGCAGCGTATATTTAAGCTGGGTTAGCGGAGGAAGGGCTGCTTGCATTGTGGCCGAAACATCGTGAGAATTGTATTATTTTATTATGTTTTATTTTTATTATTTTATTATTTCCCTTCTACTTGACTTTACCGAAAGAACCAAGAAGATGAATCCCTGCAGTCACGAAAGCTTTAAATCGAAAGCTATATAACAGTTCACTTACCGAAAAGGCAATCGGTCAGAAGGCTTTTTTTTCTCTCTCATCCGTCCACGGCTCGCTCGTGCGCTGACCCTTTGAGGTCGGTGTATTGAGTGGGATATTTGGGCATACTTGCGTGACCTCTGAAGTGGCTGCCTCCCTAGTTGACCGCTTGGGAGGAGCTGTGATCAGATTTGAGATTTTATTCGGAAATCTGCCGTTTTGTACAATCGAAAAAAATTCTGCTGCGGGGGTCTTCTGCCGGTGACTTTGCCCCTAATTTCCCCAGTGGGATCGTGGCCGTGACAGAAGCAAGAAAAGCCCATTGTTTGTGAGCTCTTGTGGCTCTGTAAGCATTTTCATTTTTTGTGAGGTTGATGAAAAATGCTTTCTCTGCAGCCCACATTGAAATTTAGTGGGTAGATCACTACCACTCTGCCACATTTCTGTAAGCAATGGCTAAAAAGCACCGTCTTACACACGCAAATGACTTAACGTTTACTTTACTGCAGCAAGATAAAAATCCATGTTTTTGCAATTTGTTTTTTTTAAGGTGACATTGTGCAATTGCAGTAATAAACACAACTAGTTGGCCTGTGGCTGCATCTCCAGCACTAAAGCCAAGCTGCTGCCTCGTGCACATATTTGATTCTATGCTTTTTATTACCTTAAAAATATACATTTGTAGCCTGTTACTTTTTTTGTATTGTTCAAACGCCAATACGAATGAAGAAAGATTACCGAAATCAACATAGGTCGTTCAACCTCTGTGGCCACCGCCCCTTCCTCGTTATGCCCCGCCCTCTTCCTCGTTATGCCCCGCCCTCTTCCTCGTTATGCCCCGCCCTCTTCCTCATTATGCCCCGCCCTCTTCCTCGTTATGCCCCGCCCTCTTCCTCGTTATGCCCCGCCCTCTTCCTCGTTATGCCCCGCCCTCTTTCTCATTATGCCCCGCCCCCTTTCTAATGCCCCGCCCCTATTGCTTAAGCCCCACCCCTTTCCATGTCGGCTCCCTCTGCCTCCTTTCGGCTCTGTGCCTTTCCTTTTAGGCTTCGCCTCTTTTTGTGTTTGTATGTTGCCCTGCCCCATCCCCCCAGACACAGGCTGGGGATGGTCTGGGTAGTGGTGGGGGTTGTGGAAGTAGTGGGGGGGGGGGGGGGCACGCACAACAGTGGTAGTGGTGGGTGGGGGGGTAGTTAGTAGTTTGGGGTTGGGACAGATTCACTAGGCTGACCAAAATCCCTCTTTATGCGTAAAAATATAATAATAGATGCCGGTTGTTTACCCAGGAAAAT